AGGTCCAACACTGGCGCCCTGTGCTTTTCACAAATGAGAGTAGGTTCACCCTGAGCACATGTGACAGATGTGAAAAGATCTGGGGAAGTCATGGAGAACATTATGCTACCTGTAACGTTCAGCATGACTGTTTTGGTGGCGAGTCAGTGATGGTCTGGGGAGGCATATCCATGAAGGGATGCACAGACCTCTACAGGTCTAGACAATGGCACTCTGACTGCCATTAGGTATTGGGATGAAATACTTGGACCCATTGTCAGACCCTATGCTGGTGCTGTGGGTCCTGGGTTCCTCCTAGTGCATGACATTGCCCGCCGTCCTGTGGTGAGAGTATGCAGGCAGTTTATGGAGAATTAAGGAATTGATACCATTCAATGGCCACAACACTCCCCTGACCTAAATCCAATAGAACATCTCTGGGATATCATATTTCGGTCCATCCGATGCCACCAGGTTGTACCTCAGACTGTCCAGCAGCTCAGTGATGCCCTGGTCCAGATCTGGGAGGAAATATCCCAGGACACCATTTGTCGTCTCATTAGGAACATGCCCTGATGTCAGGCATGCATAAAAGCACGTGGGGCCATACAAACTACTGAGTACCATTCTGAGTTGCTGCAATGAAATTTCAGCAAAATGGACTAGCCTGCTGCATAATTTTTTCACTTTGATTTTCAGGGTGTCTTTGAATTCAGTCCTCTGTAGGTTGATAATTTTCATTTCCATCAAACAATGGGGCATCCTGATGTTCCTAACACATTACCCAATCCATATCAGTATAGATATTCAGCATGATATTTTTCCCCATTGAGATCTGTTGTGTTTTTCAAAGTGTTCCTTTAATTTTTTTGAGCAGTGTATATTGCAGCTTACCAATATTAAGGGCTTGTTCACAGCATGGTGCAGAGAAGTCAGTTTTTCTACACACATTCTGCAAGGGCACAACAAAATCAATTGTTCTCTATGTGCCCTGTTCACACCACAACACTAGTATCACAGATTTTTTTCTGTGCAAGAATCTGCAACATATATAAAACTCATTAAGGAACATGAAAACTGATGTAAACTAATGTCTTCAAGTGACATCTGCACATCAGTTTCCATCAATTTTTCTGCACGTATGGTGTGAACGAGTGTGATGACAGTTCAATTGTTTTCTTTTTTTTCCCCTTAATTCTCACTTGGTGATCCAGCCAGTAACACACTTCCTGTCTTAGGGTGTCTCCACTCTGGATAAGGGAGCAACAGAGAGCCCTTTGGACAGAAACACTCAATCTGGGGAGAAAGTAGTGTTAGATGCACTAGCAGGCTTACAGCCCTGGACAAAAGTTTTGAGAATGACATAAATATTTACCAATTTAATAATTTACCTGCAAGGAAACACATGCAGTCATTGCTTTGCATAAAAAAGGATTCACAGGCAAGGATATTGCTGCTGATGGTTGCACCTAAATCAACCATTTATCAGATCATCAAGAACTTCAAGGAGTGAGGTTCAATTGTTGGGATGAAGGCGTTGGGGCACCCAAGAAAGTCCAGCAAGCGCCTGGACTGTCTCCTAAAGTTGGTTCAGCTACAGGATCGAGGCACCACCAGTGCAGAACCTGCTCAGGTATGGCAGCAGCAGGTGTGAGTGCATAGTCACGCACAGTGAGGCAAAGACTTTTGGAGCATGACTTGGTGTCAAAAAGGGCAGCAAAGAAGCCACTTCTCTCCAGGAAAAAATATCAGGGACAGACTGATATTCTGCAAAAGGTACAGCGATTGGACTGCTGAGGACTGGGGTAAAGTCATTTTCTCTGATCAATCCCCTTTCCAATTGTTTGGGGCATCCAAACCTTGTCCGGAGAATAAAAGGTGAGCGCTATCATCCGTCCTGTGTCATGCCAACAGTAAGTCCTCATGCACACTTGATGTTTTTACAGCTGCTGTTTTTGGCTTTTAGTAGTTTTTTCTACAGCCAGTAAACTCCTCAGCATGTTACCCTATGTGTCCATGCACACACAGACTATAATCAGCGTTTTTTGGCTGGAAAAAAAACCCCAGAACTAGTGGCTTTCTAGAGGAGTTTTTTAACTGTAAAAACACTCTAATGCTGAAAAATGCAGCAAACTGGCGGCGTTTTTTTGGAGATTTTTTTGAGAAAAAGAAATTGGGGGGTAAAAAACACAAAAAAAAATGATGCAAATGCGAAAAAACACGGCTAAACACTAATGCAAAAACGCTGATAAACTCACGTTATTAACGTCACTTTACACAACTAACGTTACCAGCGCATGTGCATGGAGCCTAAAGCGTCCTGAGACTATTTGTGTGTGGAGTTGATTCTCAGCCAAGGAAGAGGGAGCACTCACAATTTTGCCTAAGAACACAGCCATGAATAAAGAGCACTGAGTGCCCATTCACATATATGCAGATTGGATGCAGTTTGAACCGCATCCAATCCGCATGACATGTGAAAAAACATTGCTTCCTATGGTGCCTGTTCACATGTGTCCGATGCACTGATGGTGTGGATTCAGTGCAGTTTAAAAAGAGTCATGTTCAATTTCTGAGCAGTGCGATACGGTTTAGGTGTGGATTACAGGCTATTGACTTCTATGGGAACTGTTTCTAAACCTGACATGTGTGAACAGGATAAAATCCTGACCTGATCCTGTCCTAAACCTGATGTAAATCTGACCTCAACTGGAGAACAGCTACTGTGTCAATTAGCTGTGATACTGAGCTTCTATCCACACTGCACGTGTGAAACAGCACTGAATCCGCACTGCCAGTGCACCGGACATATGTGAACACGCACCGTAGGAAGCAATGTTATTTCACATGTCATGCAGATTGGATGTGGTTTAAACCACATCCAATCCGCATATATGTGAAAGGGCACTTGACCATGGTAAGCACTCTGTAGTACTGTAGTAAATGGTTTCCCCCAGTCCTCTGCCACTTTTTCTGGACAGCGTGGTCTGTCAAAAGAAGTTGAAAAATAGAAGACTTACTGGCTGGATCACCAGGTGAAATTAAAAGAAACAAAAAAGAAAACTAATGTAGTGACCACATCTAAGGAATGGTAAACAGAGTGTGGCTTGGCAGCACATTTAGCTGGTCGTGCTGTCTGTCTTCTTGGCCGATTACCCAGATCATTATCCTGCTGACAACCTCCCATGCAGTGGTGTGTGAGCATTGTGCAATGCAAAAAGTATGGCAGGCTGTACCCTTTTCAATGCAGCACAGTACAGGACAATCCACTGCCTCGCACTGCAGCAGACAATACAACTGTGTGACATTTCAATAAAAACACAAAACACAAAAAGGTTGCTCCTCCAGACCCCTGTAGACACGCCCAGCCCAGGACACACAGCTGGGCTGTGTGTGCCTGTAGACCGACACAGCCCAGCCCAGGACCAAGCCCCCACAAGTGCCCCCATAACAACTGGCTTGCTATGGGGGCACTTGGATAAGAGGAGTAGCCAGAAGTGTTGTTGGGGCACCCAGAAGAGAAAGTTTGGTGAGCACAGAGCGTTTATTATTTTGAGAAAAAAAAAGATGCTTTTAAATCACTTTAACCACTTCCTGACCGCGCTATAAGACATCTACAGCGTGGTCAGCTAGTTCTGGGAGGGCATCCATGGACGTCCTCCAAGAACCACGCCCCCTGGGGTATGCACCATGCACATTCTGTGATCACTGTGTCCTTGGAACACAGCTGATCAAGTGTCCATGTAGGGGGCCAGTCAGAGCTGCCATCTACATGTGACTAGCTGTGTCCAACCACAACAAATCACATGTAAACAGGAAATGCTGGTAATCAGCAGTCCTCTCCTCACGCTGACAGCGTGTGAGGAGAGGAGAGCCGGTAAGCGTTTCTTAGGGGGACATCTACACTGCTCATCAGTGCCCCGATGACCAGCGTAGCCCCATCAGTACAGCAAATAGTGCCCATCTGTGCTGGCTATCAGTGCCTCCTCAGTGATGCCTGTGAGTGCCATCTATCAATGCCCATCTATCATATCAGTGCCCATCAGTGCTGCATATCAGTGCCTCCTCATCAGCACACACATCAGTGAAGGAGAAAGATCACTTATTTACAAATCTTAACAGAAACTAAGAAAAACTTTTTTTAAAAAAGGATAGCAAATAATAAAAACCCCATTGGTGATTAAATACCACCAAAAGAAAGCTCTATTTCTGTAAAACGAATTATAAAAATTTCATATGGGTACAGTGCTGCATGACTGTGCAACTGTCATTTAAAGCAGTACAGCGCTGAAAAATGGCCTGGATGGGAAGGGGATGCCAGTGCCCGGTAGGCAAGAGGTTAATGTGTTATTGATCTGATGTTACTCATTATGTTGGCAGTAGAATCGCTGTCATACAGGCCATACACTAGTAGGCAATTAAAAAAAAACAAAAACCACCATTGTGAACCAGCGTTCAATCATAAATCGATCTGATGAATCTGGGCACCCCTCCATCAATAGTTGTGAAGTTTTGATCAGTTCTCAGTTTTTCTTTTACAAAGCAGGTCGCAGTTGGTTAAATTGTCATGCGATCAAACAGTTCTGTCTGCACATAAATCATAATGGCATTGGACTGCCTCCCTTCTCATTTCCGTTTTCTAGAAGCCACCGAAAAAAAGAAAAAAATTGCTAGTTTCATTAATAAAGTTATTGAAGGAAAAAAAAAATAGCTGTACCCGGATATGACATATTCATTTGGCTGGGAGGACGGTCCAATCACCGTTCTGCAGTGGGCGTGTACGAGAGGACTTGGTGATGGCTTAACCGTTGTCGTGGCAACCGCAGGTCGGCCTATTAAGAGCAGAGCTATCAGTACACCGGGACGGTTTATTTACCTAACGGGTGAACGTATGAAAATTATAGACTGCCGATGATCATAGTGGTCGGGCTGCGTATGTAGTCCGACATTCTGGGGGAGTATTCCGGTCCTCGTCTCCTACTTCTTCGGTCCCCATAGCTGGACGGTTACCTGAGCCGACCATGTCCTCCTCATCTGATACCAGCCGAGAGGGGTGAGGATGCCGCTTGTATATAATACTGTGTGCTGTGGTGGGCGTGCTCTGTGGTGAAGTAGGGTTGCCTCCTCACCCCTTTAAAACCGAACACATATTAATTACACAGGTTCTGGGGCTGATTAAGGTGGTAATTAAAATCACTTTTGTGCATTATCTGTGTTAACCACTTGCCCTTCAGAGGATTTACTCCCCTCCCTGACCAGGCCATTTGTTTTGTGTAACTAACAATTGCGCAGTCATGCAACGCTGCACACATATTAAATTTACATACTTTTTTTCCAGTTTACTGAACTTTCTTTTGGTGGTATTTGATCACCTCTGTGTTTTTTATTTTTTGTGCTATAAAAAAAAAAGACCGATAATTTTGAGAAAAAAAAAACAATATTTTTGCCTTTTTGCTATCAAACATGTCCAGTAAAAAAAATTAAAAAATCAAATTTCGTCATTTAGGCAAAAGTGTATTCTGCTTCATGTCTTTGTTAAAAAAAAAAAAAAATCCCAATATGTGTAAATTAACTGATTTACCTGAAAGTTATAGAATTTACAAATGGCGGTATATATACTGGGTTTTTTTTTTTTTTAATTTTTACTAGCAATGGCGGTGATCAGCAACTCATAGCGGGACTGCGTGGGGCATTCTGGCACTGGGGGGAACTGACTTGGTGTCACTGACATCCCCAATGACACCAATACAGTGATCATTCCACTGACACTGTACTAATGGCACTGGGCAGGAAGGGGTTAACATCTGGGCGGTCAAAGGGGTTAACTGTGTGCTGTTCTTCTGAATGTGTGTGCTTTCCACTGTAAAAAGCAGTGTGCAGGAGCTGGCAGAAAGAGAACTATATTGTTAACATACAGTTCTCTCCCTCTGTCGGTAATGCTGATCGATCACTGGTGAGTAATCACTGGCCGGGACCTGGTGATTGATAGCCGAGGCTGCGAATAGCAGCGTGCTCCCTACCCAGAAAGGCAAAATCACATGTGTGTATGTGTATATATATATATATATATATATATATATATACATACACATACACACACACGTGATTTTGTGCACCTCTTCCGCTCTGTATACTATAGGCCAGTGGGAAAGTGGTTAAGGTGGTATATTATGCTTCTGACCACACAGTCGTACAGGGAGCGAATTCCACAGATACTGCAGAGTGGGGTGTAGAACCCAGACACACCATAAAACCAGCATAGAGGCTCTAGAGAAAACTATGAAAGTACTAGAGATAGGCTCTCCAGCAATCTGCCAGACCCATGGGACAGCACACTGCATGTCAGTTGTTTTTCATTCTAACAAGTGAAGCAGCAGGATTAATACTGTAGAGATCACCTTTATGCTGGGATTGTCTGCAAAATATACAGCCTTCTCAGGGGAAACTAATCTAGAAGACATATTAGCAGAACTAACCAAGACTGAAGCCTTAAACCAACAAAGTCTCTTATGCTAGCCATACACTGGTCGAAAAATCGTTCAAACTCTTTTTCAAATAACGAACAGTTGGTTGTGGGTGCAAACATATTGCCATCGTGTAATGACCGAATTTCTAACAATAAATTGATCAATGGAGATAAACGAAGCTATCTGGGGCTAGAATCTGCAGATTGTGTTTAGAGACTGTGAGCAATACCTATGGACTACTACCCAGATGCTGGCCTAGCTGCTGCATGGGTAAGATGTAAGCTAACATATGGTAACTCTGAAGCTGTACTACAAACCTTTCCAAAAATCAACAACAAGGATCATCAAAAGCTCCAAGACCTAAGTGACCTGCTGATGGACCTAGAGTTTTGAAAGGCAGGACTTAAGTCATTTGGACTCCGCTCATGGTTTAAGTCTGGTGCTGTCAAAACTGCCATTCAGCCTGCAAAAGAAATGGGCAGCATAGGGCTCAAAATACAAAAGAGATTGTAATGTATCCTTCCCAATGTTCTAACATGTTTACAGGTTCATCAATGATCAAGCAAGAACAAGAAATTATCCCAGTTTCAGCTTGAGTGGACCCAACTTTCAACCAACTTGCATGACAATATAGCAGCTAAACATATATACTTACAGAAAACAGTATCTGTTAAAAAGGCAGACCTTCCATCTTGTCTCATCCTCTTCTACTGATCTAAAGGAGGTAGAGATAATGATCCTAATCATCAGTGCCCGATTCACAATAAACCTCACCCTCTCAAAAAATGTCATGGAAAATTTGGGATAAGCTATAGGTGCTGTGCTTCTTAAGACCATTTTACTAAAGATCCTGAGGGTATTACTAAGTTCACAAAGAGCAACATTGACAAGCATGTTACAGCTATTCATCCTTACCCCACTTCCTGCCAATCCAAAGCATTCATGGACCAAACCATGGCTGAGAACAGAATCATGTTCCATCTGCAATAACTGTTACCTCTTCATGTGCTGAAGTCTATGTGAAGGCTCCAATTCAAATGCTGTGACAAGGTATGTCTAGTCAAGAAACATCCAGTGGGGCAACCAGTGAAAGCTATCAGGATGTATGCCATAAGTGGAGAACAAGGCAACAGATCTGTAAACAAAAATTATTTTTTTTGGTATAAAAGGACATGCAACACCATATACACTCACCGGCCACTTTGTTAGGTACACCTGTTCATTTGCTTGGTAACACAAATTGCTAATCAGCCAATCACATGGCAGAAACTCAATGCATTTAGGCATCTAGACATGGTGAAGATGACTTGCTGAAGTTCAAACTGAGCATCAGAATGGGGAAGAAAGGACAGATGATTCCTGAAGTTTTTTTTATCATGTTTTTTTTGCAGATATATTGTACATGAGAATCCTGATTCTGTATACCTCCTAATAATTCAGTTGGTATGATGTGTTGAGTTTTTTTTTTTTTCTCCCCTCAGTGAGTCCTCAAAATGGTTGGATGCCCATTATGATCCTGTTGCTGGTCTGAGTTCATTATCATCCTGCATTGGTAAGTTTTGGAGACCTCACTTACAAAAGATATTGAGAAGATAGAACGAATCCAGGGACAGGCAACAAAAATTATGAAAGATCTGGGGGATAAAACATCAGCAGATACTTCAGGAACCTAATATGTACAGTCTGGAGGAAAGGGGGGGAGATGTGATTGAAACCTTCAAATACATTAAGGTTGTGAATAAGACTCGGGACGGCAGTATTTTCAATATGCTAAGACCAAGAATGCAGGGACATGACCTCAAACTAGCAGAAGGAAAGTTCAAAACTAACCTTATAAAGTATTATTTTACTGAATGAGTAGTTGCTTGGAATAGAGTTCCAGTGGAGGTAGTGAGCCAGTCAACAGTAAGTGGATTCAAACATGTTTTGGTCAAACATAGATCTCAGACAAAAATGTTTAAAAAGTATGTGTGTGTATAGAATATACAGTTGTGAGCAGATAAAACACATTTCTTTTATATCTTGTGGGATTCTTATTCAACTGTAGGCCGTAACAGAATGGCACAACCATAAGGCAAAACATGAAAACACGTAAACAAATGAAATTAACCCTGTTCAAAAGTCTGCCTACCCCTAGTTCTTAATACTGTTTATTGCCCCCTTTAGCATCAATGACAGCATGTGGTCCTCTGTAATAGTTGTCTATGAGGCCCCAAATTCGTGCAGGTGGTACAGCTGCCCATTCGTCTTGGCAAAATGCCTCCAGTTCAAGTCTTTGGTCGGTTTACATGAACCACTCATTTGAGATCTCCCCAGAGTGGCTCAGTGATATTAAGGTCAGGAGACTGTGATGGCCTCTCCAGAACCTTCACCTTTTTCTGCTGTAACCACTGGAAGGTCAATTTGGTCTTGTGCTTAGGGTCATTGTCGTTCTGAAAAGTCCAAGAGTGTCCCATGCGTAGCTAGCTGCTTTCATATTGCCATCAATTTTCACAAGATTCCCCACACCTTTAGAGCTCACTCACCCCCAAAATATCAGTGAGCCACCCACCATGCTTCACAGTGGGGATGGTATTCTTGTCGCTATAAGCCTTGTTGACCCCCCTCCAAACATAGCATTTATGTTTTTGACAATAAAGTTCTGTTTTGGTCTCATCTCTCCAGATTACAGAAGCTGTGAAGCATGTCAAGGTGTTGTCGGGCATATTTTAACTGTGCTTTTTTGTGCCATTGGCCTAGTAAAGTCTTTCTGGCAACTCAGTCATGCAGTTCGTTTTTGTTCAAGTATCGTTGTATTGTACTCTTTGAAACAACCATACCATCTTTTTCCCAAAGCAATTTGCATTTCTCCTGAGGTTACCTGTGGGGTTTTTTTCGTATCCTGAACATTTCTTCTGGCAGTTGTGGCTTCAATCACTCTTGGTCTACCTGACATTGCCTTGGTATCAAGAGATCTCCAAATTTTCCACTTCTTAATAAGTGATTGAACAGTACTGACTGGCATATTTAAGGCTTTGGATATCTTTTTATATCTTTTTCCATCCTTATAAAGTTCCATTCCTTTGTTACGCAGTTCTTTTCTGCTCTCCATGGCTCAGTATCTAGCCTACTCAGTACATCCATATGAGTGCTAACAAACTCATTGACTATATATATACACAGACACTAATTGCAGTTTAAAAAGTCACAGATGTGGGAAATTACCCTTTAAATGCCATTTTAACCAGTGTGTGTCACCTTGTATGTCTGTATCAAAGCCAAACATTCCAGGGTATGTAAACTTTTGATCAGGGCCATTTGGCTGATTTCTGTTATGATTTAAAAAGGAGCCTAACAACTATGTGATAATAAATGGCTTAATATGATCCTTAAATAAGAAGTTTTTTGGCATGATAGGTTTTGGCAGATCAGGTTTTCAATGTCGATGCATAAATTTCACGATTTCAGCCAGGATATGCAAATGTTTGAGCACAATTGTATATACACTCACCGGCCTCTTTATTAGGTTCAGCTATTCAATTGCTTGGTAACACAAATTGCTAATCAGTCAATCACATGGCAGCAACTCGATGCATTTAGGCATCTAGACGTGGTGAAGGCGACTTGCTGAAGTTAAAACCGAGCATCAGAATGGGGAAGAAAGGGGATTTAAGTGACTTTGAACGTAGCATGGTTGTTGGTGCCAGACAGGCTGGTCTGAGTATTTCAAAAACTACGGATCTACTGGGATTTTCACACGCAACCATCTTTAGGGTTTACAGAGAATGGACAGAAAAAGAGAAAATATCCAGTGAGTAGAAGTTGTGTGGATGAAAATGTCTTGTTGATGTCAGAGATCGGAGGAGAATGGGCAGACTGGCTCAAGAAGATAGAAAGGCAACAGTAACTATGCAGAACACCATCTCTGAACACACAACATGTTGAACCTTGTTGCAGATGGGCTACAGCAACAGAAGACCACACTGGGTGCCAGTCCTGTCAGCTAAGAACAGGAAATGGAGGCTACAATTTGCACAGGCTCACCAAAATTGGACAATAGAAGATTGGAAAAACATTGCCTAGTCTGATTCTCGATTTCAGCTGCGACATTCAGATGGTAGAGTCAGAATTTGGCGTAAACAACATGAAAGCATGGATCCATACTGCCTTGTATCAAAGGTTCAAGCTGGTGGTGTAATGGTGCGGGGGGGATTTTCTTGGCACACTTTGGGCCCCTTAGTATTAATTGAGCATCGTTTAAACACCACGGTCTACCTGAGTATTATTGCTGACCATGTCCATCCCTTTAAGACTACAGTATACCCATTTTCTGATGGCTACTTTCAGCAGAATAATGCACCATGTCACAAAGCTCAAATCATCTCAAACTGGTTTCTTGAACATGACAGTTCATTGTACTTCAATGGTCTCCACAGTCATCAGATCTCAATCCAATAGAGCACCTTTTGGGATGTGGTGGAACGGGAGATGTGCATTATGGATGTGCAGCCGACAAATCTGCACCAACTTCTTGCTGCTATAAATATGGACCAAAATTTCTGAGGAATGTTTCCAACACCTTGTTGAATCTATGCCACAAAGAATTAAGGCAGTTCTGAAGGCAAAAGGGGGGTTGTCATGTTTCACATGACTGTCATATGCCTTTAAGTGTCTTCTGTATTTTATCTCTGTTTCTCCTTTTCCTTTGGTTTAGTTAATGCTGTATAGATAGCCCACCCTTTTCCCAGAAATGCATTGCAGCTCTAGCCTCATGTCATAAAGCAGGACATATTATGATCTTTTGACCTATCAGATGTTTATTGTTGTAAGATTCTCTCAGTTTATGGAATAAACTTCACAAGATATCATCTTGATTGAGTCACTGACTGTGGTATCCAACTGAGATTGGCGTTATCGTTATCTCATCACAACTGTAAGTTACAGAGATCACACTTTCAATGCTTAGATTGGAGAGACAGAACAGGGGTCCAACCTGGTACTAGCAAGGTGTACCTAATAAAGTGGCCGGTGAGTGTGTGCTTACTTAAAAAAATATCCTTTATATCTTTCCTGTCTGCTGGCCATCTCTTTCCAAAACTTCCTGGATTCCCTGAATGCTTTGCATCTTCTCCCCTGCTGTTTTACTTTCAATTTCTACTACAAATCCCATGGTATGTTGTTGCCTGCTGGCAGTGATTCCTGTATTGATTATGCCTCCTGGGCTCTGTGACACAGCAGAGCCTATACACTTGGCTTAGTGCATATGTGTTACATAATTCAAAGAAACAGATGTGTAGGGATCACAAAGTAAGTTTACCAACTTCAAGAACCTTCAGATTCATAGGCGTAGGCTAGAAATAATTTAAATACATTGGAGAATTGAACATGTAAACCCCCAGTTTAAATAGAAATGAAAGGCAAAACATTTGTGTATACATACAGAGGGTAAAATAAATATTGAACACGTCACTATTTTTCTAAGTACATATATTTCTAAAGGTGCTAGTTACATAAAATGTTCTCCACATGTCAGTAACAACCCAAAGAAAAAAAAGCAAATAAGTTCAGAAATTAAGTTATATGGAATGACATGGGGAAAAAGTATTGAACACATGAAGAAAGGTAGGTGAAAAATGGCATGGAAAGCAAAGGCACCAGCTGAAATTGTCAGTAATTGGGAAGCGATCATGCCCCTTGTCAGTGCAAATAATATCAACTGGTTCAGTCTCAGCTGATGGCCTACAAAAAGGTGTCTCATTACCAAGATGTCCCATAAGAAACATCTCATGGTGAGTAAAAGCAAAGAGCTCTCAAGACCTTTGCACCTTATTGTTGCAAAACATACTGATTGCATTGGTTACAGAAGGATTCCAAAACTTCTGAATGTTCCAGTGAGCACTGCTGGGGACATAATCTGGAAGTGGAAAGAACACCATTTCACCATAAACCAGCCACGACCAGGTGCTCCTCTCAAGATTTCTGACAGAGGAGTAAAAAGAATTATCAGAAGAGTTGTCCAAGAGCCAAGGACCACTTGTGGAGCGCTTCAGAAAGACCTGGATTTAGCACACTCACACAAAAGACTCCATTGCTGAAGAAAAAGCATATTGAAGCTCATTTAAAGTTTTGCTCAACATTTTGACAAGCTTGTGAAATACTGAGAGAATATAGTCTGGTCAGATGAAACCAAAATTTAACTCTTTGGATGCCATAATACACACCATGTTTGGAGGTCAAATAGCACTGCACATCACCCCAAAAACACCATACCAACAGTGAAGGGAGGAGGTGGGAATATCATGGCTTGGGGCCATTTTTTCAGCATACTGTACAGGCAAACTTCATGTCATTGAAGGAAGGATGAATGAATGGAAAAATGTACCAAGACATTGTGATGAAATCGGCTGCCATCTACCAGGATGATAAAGATGAAACCAGGGTAGATATTTCAGCAAGCCAATGATCCCAAACACAAAGCCAGTGAAACTTTCAATTGGTTTCAAAGAGAAAATAAAGCTGCTAGAATGGCCCAGCCAATCAGCTGACTTGACAGTAAAAAATCTATGGAAAGAA